TGGGATTTTTTGAAGGGGGCTCCACATCATTCAACTTCAGGGGTGTCACTGGCAGCACGAGATGCTGGAAGCTTCATGGCCTACAGCACAAGCACAAGCCACTTGTGAGCTGAAAAGCCTCAGAGTTATCGGAGACTAAACACATTGACGCCATGTGCCAGCACATTACTGGTTCCGTTGAGTCCGGAAGTGAGAGCCAGTCATCCCGCTTTAAGTCTAAACCTGAAAACCCAGACCCCAGCTATGCCAAATCCCATGCTCACAAATCAAGAGCTCTGCTTGGACAACACAGGCCGGGACCATATGATTTTGCAAGAGACCTTGGATGTCCGTGTTTTTGGCACCTTGAACCTTGCAGCCAGGCTGCAAGCAGTTCGCCTTTCTCAAGGACAGGAAAGCGCCGGAGAGAGAATGAGCCTGTAGTTAAAGAAAAACTGGCTCGGCAGTGAATAGGGCTTGCCAACCGAATAGAAGATTGGGGATGTAGGTTGGCCACGATGGGCTTGTCAGTACTGGGTTCCATCTACTTGCCGATAATTGCGAGCTCAGGCAGGAGACAGGGCTTGGAAGCAGAGTTAAGGCTGGGTGTACGGTCTAGGGCTAGTGGGAGTTCGGGGCTGAGGAGACTGGAGCTGCAGAGTGCGCTCACTACCTTCTCAAGAAAAAGGGACAAACTTTCAAGGAAATCGCCACAGGATAAATGCAATGCTGGAGGACTCTACAAAAGAGCACAGCTATGATGCGGCTGGGAAAAGACATGAACCTTAAGTTCAAAAGCCCAACCGCTTGGCAAACTCGGCAAGCATCAACAATGGAAAATCATAAACGGAAGAGTATGCGATCTCGGTTCAGAGGCTTTTCGCTTTTGACCCCAGCTAACCTAAACGTCTCAAACCAAAAACCTGTGAACAACATGGCCAGGTAACTGAACCTGGCACATAGACCCCATTCCCCTGGACCGAACTCTACATGCTAAAGGCCACGCAAAGCCCTGGGTAAAATCTTACCAGACAACCCAAAACCCTAAACCCCACATCGTAAACCCTAAACCGTAAACCCTAAACCCTAAACCCACTGAAATCCTGGCTTTGGCAATACTGTGCAACAGCGGAGAACAAGGCAGGGAATATGCAGAAGAAATTCCTTCATGCACATGGTAGTTGTTCAAAATGCCTGTCCCCAAAATGGCCATACTGAATGGTTAGGATTCCCTTTTAAGGAAATGTATTCCCAATAGTCCCTTCTTTAATTACAAGGACCTTTAGAACAACCCCCCACATGGAAATCCGGGAAATCAGCACATGGTCTTTTCTTACATTCCCTCAAGCCCCATATACATCCTAAACACTGAACCCTTAGTCCCGAACGGGTGGTAAGAGCAACAAAAAAACAGCGAGAACCAGCCATAAGGTATTGTAACTGAAGATGCCGCTTCTTCCTGCAGTATTGATCTACCCAACATTAAAAAAAAAGTTTGGCCCTGCAGCCGCCACCCAGAAGATGGGCAGAGAGTACGTCATCGCTTGCATAGTCCATGGCTGGTACTTGGGATTCAAGCCATCTTAAGTGCGTCAGGCTCTAGGTAATTGGTTAGTTCTTGTCTGTTTGGGTGATTGAAGGCTTTGGGGATTGAGGGAGGTGGGTGGGAAACGCCCTTTTCACTGGGGCATCTACGCACAACCTTGTCATGGAACTCGTCTGTTGCAAGGATTTTCGGAGTTACGGTTCAAGACCGGAGGCTAATCTGAGGTCTAGGGTGATCACGTAGGCTCAGGAGAGGTCTCGGCTGCGAACTATTGGGCTTTGGGCTCAACATGACAGTCATCTCAGCATTTCTCTTCTCACTGCCACTTTGATCCTTGCAGAGTCAAAGTTTGCCTTTGTCTGCCCCGTGCCCTGGTGGGATGCTTCGAGCCAGGCTGAAGGAACCCAAGACTTCTTCATCCATATGCAACTTACTTGGCTGGATTAGCCTTCTAAGCCATGATGATAGCCAGCGACAACTTGCAATTTTGAGGATCCAGCAAGGGTAGAGATCTCACATTCCGAATCGCGCCAGGTTGAGCACTTGGGATTAAAACAAGTCAGGCTACCATGAGGAGCCTCGAGCGCAGAAGCCCTTCGGCCCTGGAGCACCATAAGAGCCTGAGGCATAAACACCATGATCGTTCAGGTATCCGGTGCGCAAGTCAAGCAACTGCAACAGCCCATCATCGTTGCCTTTCTCAACTCGCATGTCGCATGATCATGGCCGAGTGTTCTTCTAAATGCTCTACGTGGGGCTGCACTCAAGCGGTGCACGTGCATCCGGGCGAGAGCACTGTGCCCAGCTGGTGCAAGGCCAGGCAGAGCACCGAAGGCCAGCCAAGGTCCAAACAGAAAGATGTCCTCGTTGCTGTGCGGAGCCGCTCAGCATCAGAACTAGTTGCGAGATCCATATCAGACATCAGTACTGCAAGGAGAAAAATTACCATGATTCCAAGAGGGGATTTATTTGGGGCATTGTGGGGCCACTGCTGCAGAAAAAGATCTCACCCGGGAAAAGAGTGTTCGCTCTCCACATGCATGGGGCATGTGGTGAAACAGGTCTGTAACTGATCTGGTCTGGGAGCGACGAGGATGATTAGGCGATATCATGTTTTACGCCGTGCCAGCTCCCTCTTGAGCTGATCTTCTAGATCATCTTCTCCCAATTCTGAAGCAGCCCAGAGAGACATCTGCAACCCTTCTGGCTGCATAGCGGCCATGTGTACAGGGATTCGGGGCACAAGGGCCTGTGTTGCTGAGCGAACCGTTGGCACTGCATCTCGCAACTTGGCAGCTGCCCAAAGGCTGTTGGAGAAGTGTTGAGGAATCATGTCCTCCACCCTGTCCGGAATCGATGCTGCAACAGAAGGCACGGCCATGAGCACCTGTGGCACCGCATGTTGCAACTTGGCAGCCGCCCAAAGGCTGTTCGACAAGTGTTGAGGAACCATGCCCTCAACCTTTTGTGGGACATGAGCTGCAATAGTGGGCACAGCTGTGAGCACAGCCGGTGCCGAATCTTGCAACTTTGCAGCTGCCCACAAGATGTTCGACAAGTCTTGAGGCACCATGTCTTCTGCCTTGTGAGGAATATGCGCTGCAATAGCAGGCACAGCAGTCAGCACCTCTGGTGCCGAATCTTGCAACCTTGCAGCTGCCCACAAGATGTTTGACAGGTGTTGGGGAACCATATTTTTGACCTTGTAAGGTATGCACGATGCAAGAGCAGGCACCGCAGTTAGCACTTGCGGGGCTGCATCTTGCAGCTTTGCCGCTGCCCACAAGTTGTTCGACAAGTCTTGAGGCACCATGTTTTGTACCCTGGAAGGAATATGCGCTGCAATAGCAGGCACGACTTTCAGCACCTCTTGCGCAACATCTTGCAATCTTGCAGCTGCCCAAAGGCTGTTTGACATCTCTTGGGGCTTCATGCCTCCCAACTTGTCGGGGATACTCTGCACAATGGCTGGCACAACTGTCAGTACCTCTGGCACTGTACCCTGCAAGTGCGCAACTGCCCAAAGGCTGTTCGACAAGCCTTGTGGAACCATGCCTGCTGCCTTGTCAGGGAAACGGGCAGTAATGGCAGGCACGAGCATCTTGACCTCTGGAACTGCATCTTGCAACCTTGCAGCTGCCCATAGATTGTTCGAAAGGTCTTGCGGAATCATAGCTCGAGCTTTGTCCGACAGGCACCTAGCAACACTTGGGATGACGACCAACACTTTTGGTACTGCATCTGCTAGCTTCGCACCACACAGCAGGCAGTTAGACAACTCTTGCACATTCATGGCAGTAACCTTCAGATGCAAGTATGTGCCTACCTCAAAAATCAACAGCTCGTCACATGCATTGACTTTTTCGTACAACTCGCTAAGTGCCCAGAACACGTTTGCTGCAGCCCGCGCACTTAGGCTGTCCTCCCTGAGCATGGTACACAGTCGAGTAGCAAGCCTCGGCCAAATCGAGCTGCGAACATCTGCTGGGCTGAGTTGATTCCGTTGGCTGAATTTAGCCAATCGGGAAAACGATGCTGACAGGTGGAAGTCATTGAAGAAATTACTGTCCACCTCCTCACCGACCAGGTTGAGAATCGCATCAGCAGACTCGGCTTTCGCGATCTTTGATGTCAAAACCCTGGGATTCGGCCCGCGATTCCGCGGGCTTTGCTGGCTTTGCCTCCGCTCTCGCACAGATCTCACCGTCCTGAATCGCTGAGTTTGGTCATCTGTCATGCTCCACAGCTTGCTGCTATGAGGCCTGGGTATGACAGGGTAGCGCCCTGCACAAAACATCTCGCCGCTTCCTCTGCAGTTCATCCGCATAAAGAGATTAACACATAGCAGCGCAAATAAGGCTTTGCTGAAGCTCCGCCATACCTTCGGAGGCAGGTGGCTCCCAATGCGAGCAACACGAGATTCGGGCGGCTGCATGTGTACAGCTGAGGTGCAAGGAAGTTTTGAGCTTGAATGTCCTCAGGAGACTCAGCTGCTTCTGCTAGGCTCTCCAACTCAAGCTTGTGACGCTTACATGACACCTTCTGCATTACAGCTGTGTTGACCCTGTTTAGACATTCCTACTAACCCCGATGGCCTTTACAAGCATGCCAAGGCGACCTGACAAGCTACGTTGTGCTCCTGCTCCCCTGAACATGGAGACTCCACCGGACGTCGCAAGCCCGAGAATTCCTGATGCTCCACATTTTGGCATGCAAGCACCAGGTAAGCCAGCTCCAACTGCCTACATTGCACAAGGAACTACGGCCAGGATTCCTGCAAGAGTCTCTCCTTTCTTAGGGGACTGCAGAAAATTGCAAGCACTCATGCATGACTGGAGACAAGCTGCAGTGCGTATTGCCTTCATTCTAGGGAACAGTCCCTCTAAGGGCTACCGTAGCTGCAACCAATAAGTCTTCACAGAAGAAGGCTATTCCTTTAGTCAGTGCAGTGATCCGCATCAGCTTTCCCTATGCATCACTGCTTCTTCTTGTCATCCTGCATCATGCCGCAAGTGTACGTGGAGGTTCGTGGACGTTAGAAGTAGGATAGCTATAGCTATAACTGGCGAAAACCTTTTCTAAGAGACGTATAAACCTACTTATTACTTACTATAGCTACCCATAAACCTCCAGTCCAAGTAGGGGCTCTGTATTGGGTGAGTTCATTAAGTCTAGCAGTTTTTGCTTATTTGGAGGCACGAGCGCGGAAGCTTCCGAGGGTCGTTGGACTTAGCGACGAAGATTTGGGGGCACGGCTTCACATGTACCCACATAGCTAATCATCCAGGTCTAAAGGGTTTAGGGTTTGGGGTTTAGGGGTATAGGGGTATAGGGGCTACTTCTTGCCACATGGTGCGGGGAGAGCAATTTTTGCTGTAGATTCTTGGCTCCAACAGCCGACAACCTCAGTTTGAAAATCTCCCTAAACCCTAAACCCAATAGGAACCCTAAACCCACCATCCAAAAAGCTCTGAACCGATACCCAGGCAAACCAAAACTCCAAAGCTGCAAGCCCGAGTGCAGATCCTACACCTGAAGAATTGAACCCCTCAGATTTCACCCACTTCCAATCCTGCGTTCAAAGGTGACTTAGGGTTTAGGATTTAGGTTTTAGGGCCAGTTTAGGGTTTAGGGTTGCTATGGTAAAAGACAGGTCGTCATAACAAGGGGATTCCGTCCGTCAGAAATGCTTGCTTACAAAATCCTTGCGACAACAGAAAGTCTAGCCTTTGGGCAGGAAGCCCCAATGAGCGAATCTCTCGTTTAACGCAGAAAATCCTGATGTATGATTAAGAAACGCTAAGAATCTCGAAACAGGGAGTTCAAACTTTCTCCCGGCCTGTGAGGGTTTCGCGGCTTCAGGTGCTGGGCACTGCGAGTAAGCGAAAACGCCGCCTGCTTTTTACGGGAACACATGGTCTGGGAGCCCATAGGGCATACTTGGACAATTGAATCTTTACATGAATCAAAGATCTAGCAGTTGAGACATACAGCAGCATGTACAATACTGACAGCAATGTGCTGCGTGCAAAGAGGAAGTAGCCTTCCTGATTGACTGACGATGACTTCGAAACGGAGTCTTCACACACCCTTGGAGCCACACATGATAAAATAGAGTAGTATCTAGCAGTATATAGTAGCATATAGTAGCATGTAGTAGCATGTAGTAGTCTAGAATCTAGATCCTTGAATCTACAATCGATTCCCGACTCTTTGACCGCCAGTCACAAACGTGCTTGAACCCATGGGTTGAAGTATGAGCCCCGAAGGGCCCAACGCTGCTGGCTGACACACCCCCAGATTTGCATCTGAAGTATTAAACTGTGTTAGTAGTTCCCTATATAGGGATTATATGGGGATAATAGAAAAGAAAATGGAAATTACTATAGTATACTGGGGTTATGATAACCCCAAGATACTATAGTAGTTTTCCATTTTCTTTTNNTTATCCCTATAAAACCCCTATGTACTGGGGATCCGTGCCAAAGATGGCAACAGTGGCAATGCTGTGGAGCACTGTCCATGGATTCCTTGGTGCAGCATCAGATGGGGTTTGGGGTTTAAGATTTAGGNNTTAGGGTCTAGGGTTAAGGGGGTGTGTATTCCAGAGGAAAGCTGAGTAAAGCGGGCCCCCTGCCCTAAAATCCTGGAAGGTGTCCTGTTCGGCATCCACTTCAAAACTACTCGGACCAAATTGAATCACACCAACAATCTTGCAATGAAACTTATCTCAAACACCGAGAAGATCATCATTTTGGGGTCAATGTGTCCTTGAGAAGAAAAGCCGTAGCTGGTGGGCCCACAGCCCTATCCTTGAACCCCGCATCCCTGAACACAAGAATCACAAGGTAATAATAATGAAAAAATAGTACTGGAAAAATAATCATAATACTAATAACAATAATAATAGCAGTCTAGGGACCCAGAACTGCTCGCAACATGCTTGCTCCTCGTTCCAAGGCACCCGAACCAGAGGATCGAAACGATCACCGAGAGAAACTTCCTGCGTGAGGGATCTTCAGGTTTAGGTTTTTAGGGGCTTAGGCATTTAGGATTTTAGGGTTCAGGGGTTTAGAGATTTAGGGGCTTAGGATTCAGAAAATTCAGGCTGGAGCTCCAGTATACAGCATGTAGCAGAGTTATGCACATGGAGGGTTTCCCAACATTATGGGTACCATTTTAGGGGTCCCCATACTTGATAAGGACTATAATATTTGAGGGTCTATATTGGGGTCCCTCCATTTTGGGAAACTACCAATTTTCAGGGTAGGCTTGAGGTCTGTAGGCGGTGTCGCATAACCCATGACTCTGCAGGCTTGCACATCCGGTCTAAAGATGTTCGAACCCCTTTAATGTGACCTCCACTCCGGAGAAACTGTCCTTGAGATGCATACCATATTTCCAATCGAAAGGACAAGACCTCTGCTCAGGACACTTGGAGGGTCAGAGTTAATAACCCCTGTAACCCAAAAAGTAATCCTAATTATCCCCAGTATTAACCTACTTACTAAGTCCCCCTGACCCTAAACTCTAAAGCCTATAGTAGTTTCTATTTTCTTTTCCATTATCCTTATATAACCCCAATATAACCCCTATATATCCCCAATGTTAAGTCCCCCCAAGCAGGATCCCCACTCTCCTGCCCCCCGGCCTTGGCAAGCTTCCTATCCTCAAAAACAATTCTCCTAAGTCCGCAGCAGCATGCACAGCATACAAAAAGTATCTCGTAGGGTCCAGCTCCTTCCTTAAATGAGACGGCTGCTTTTGGTGACTCTTGCGTGTCATTCACCAGCACCCTGAACGTAGAAATACTCTTGGGCTGGGTTGTCTTAAACATTCCCTGGCACCGACTTGGACTTATCCATGCCCTAAATCCTAAACCCTCGACCCTCTTCGCCTCACTGACAAAGTGATGTTCACCGTCAGCGGGGTGAAGTGAGCTGAGAGGCGGAAAACCTCAGCACCCCTGTACTTGAAGGTTCGTGCTTTAGGGTTTAGGGTTTAGGATGTTTAGGGTTTAGGGTGCTTAGGGTTTTAGGGTTAAGGGTTTTAGGGTTAAGGGCTTTGGGTTTAGGTTTTAGGGTTCAGGGTTCAACTATGGCGGGGCTATCCGTCCCCAACATAAAGCCGCACTGTAAGTAGTTCTATCTATAACCATTCCACTCCCCAGCTCGAACTACAGTACAAATGCAGTTCCGAGTAGGAATTGAGATTGGGATCTAGGATTCAAGCTTTACCTTTTGGAGCTCAGGATTCAGGATCTTCGGTTCCGGATCTGGGATTCAGGGCTTGGGATTTAAGGTTTTGGGCTTGGGGTTTAGGATTTAGGTTTAGGGCTTAGGATTTAGGGTTTAGCGCTTAAGATTTAGGATATGAAAGTCAAAGGAAAGATTGGTTGACTCGGATCTGCAGCTTGCGTTTCTAGCAGGTGCAGGAAGTGAACATAAAGCAACGTTCACCTTTGAATTTTGGCCGGGTGGGAGAAGGCTGGGGCGGAAGTTGGAGTTCTAGTATGCTCTAGCTTGCGAAATGGACCGTAGAAGCTAAAACTTGAACCCCGTACCTCACCCAGCGGACTTCTGAAGCCTTGCTTATACTAGGTTCCCCAGTAACCCATTCATGATAAGGGTACCCTTTCTCCTACGATTCAATTTGAATAAGGAGACCCCAAAATAAAAAGGGCAAAAGGGTACTACTGGAGTACCTAGTATAGCCTTCCATGTAACAATGTGTGCCTCGCATACGTTAAACAAACTACCCCGCTTTATCATGACACGGAGCCCTTGTACAATGCTTTCACATATGTGCCTTGCGCTTAGGCATGCCTGATATGAGCTACAGTCTAGACTCCTCCCTACATTGCTCCCTATATAAGCCCCCTTTAAGGAGTTTAGACTACAGATCATATGAAGCTGCAGGAAAAATCGCAGCAGAATCTGCACCCTGCTTCTACGCACAAAGCGCTGCTGTCACAACAGCTTGCCACGACTCAGCATTGCCTGCGTTACTCACCTGTGTCATGTTATGCCAAGTGCTCCATGCTTCAATGTTAGCGCTATTGGAGCCCATTTAATGGACACTGACCCTAAACCAGGGCCTCCGAAGCAAAAAATGCGAGGTGCATACTGCAAGCCAGATGAATACGGAACATAAAGGAACATATTCCGATTGTGAAGGAGCGGTAGGTAGTCTTTGTAGGCCTTGTCATCTTTTCAGGGGAACTGTGCAACTGCAGCAGAATGAAGAAATAACCTGCAGACCAAAACTTCAGACTCTAAATGATCCTAAGCCCTAACCCCTGTATCCTGCACCTAAAACCCGAGTGTACCTTGAAAAAACTTTCAAGGCTATCAGGGTAGTTCCAAAAATCCAGGGCCCATTTGGTACCCCTAAATATTTGGTGCTGTCATATAATCTATAACCAAAAGAGGCCCATAGTTTTGAGAACAACCCGTAAACCCTACACCCTAAACCCTGAACCCCACTATAATAGTTTCCATTTTCTTTTCCATCATCTCAATATAACCCCATTTTATCCTCTATACAATCCCTTTTTCACCCCTTCCCAGAATCACAACAGCAAACAGCAACCTGAGGCACCCGGCCCCTTTGATGCAGATCAGCTGGCAGAAGTTATTGGCTAAGAAATACCTCAACAAGCTGCTGGAATCGAAAGGGTCCTTATAAGGTTTGGGTTTAGGGTTTTGGGTTTTGGGTCCCTTTAAGGGATCTCTGGGGGTCATGTGGGGATACATAGGGACTATATAGGGGCTACATCGGGGGCTCTATATTGATCATCTAAGGATTTTCTAGGAGGTAAGTAGGGTTTAGGGATATTGTCCCTCAAAATTCACAATCCAATGGAAAAGAAAGTAGAAAATGTTTTGCAGAGGGTATGTAGGTAATGGAGAATCAGCTGGAACAGAAAACGGAAAATTGAATGGAAACTTCTACATTACTTATGATTGATGGTGTAGAATTTAGGGATAGTGAAACCAGATGAAATGGAGAAAGACCTGGAAACTGGGATAGGGTTCACAGGCATTGTACTGTAGGGGCCTAATGCAATTACAACAAGGTTCTAGGGACTCTGTGTTTTGTTTGAACTTCAGGGGTTCAAGCACTGTTCCACATGAAGCTGTCCAGACGCACTATAGAAGCTGCACTGAGACTTCGACACGCACGCCCATGGCAAAAAAAATCCACAAAATCAAGTCCTAAACTCCAAGCTCCAACACTTCCGGATCCTGTTCGCATGCTTTACAACCATGCGCCATGCTGATTGAAGTACTGTTGGCATGCATCATGTATGGCAGGAGACGCTTGCGAAAGGTTTTCTTGCGCATGTAGGTCAAAGTAATCACCAAGACTCTATCACCGCTTTTTGCAGCTTTCTCTTGCGTGGAGGTCAGCTCCTCATGCTTTGCGGAGCTCATCAGCTCCCGCGAATGCTCAATGTTGGCCAGCCGAAACAGATACACTTCGTGATGCTCGGCCAGAAGGAAAAACCCTCCACTCTTTCATCTGCAGCTGGGATCCAACAAGGTCTGAAGTCGAACAGCTGCGTAAAATCCTTCACTGCCCGAGGGCCAGCCTCGTGCCCCCGACCAACCTTTGCAATGAAAGGCATGAACCAAAGCTCCAGGAACTCCAGCGCGTGGGCAAATCTGAGCTTGCGCTGGCTACCGCTGAGCTCAGCCTCTAGGTGAGCTTTGACCAGCTTGGAGACGACTTAGACTTAGACATATCTGCCACCACCGCACAATGACACAAGGACACTGGATGCTACGTCTGGGAACTTAACCGCCGCCAAAAGAGAGGAACCATGTCTTGCACCTCGTGAAGGATACGTCTGCCAAAGCGGGCACAGCCGTCTGCACCTCTGGCACCGCGTCTTGCAGATTACCCGCTGCCCACAGACTGATTGACAAGTGCTGAGGGATCATGTCTGCAACCTTACCAGGAATGCACGCTGCAATAGCAGGTACGGCAGTCAGAACCACTGGCGCCACATGCTGCAACTTTGCAGCTGCCCACAGGCTGTTCGACAAGTGTTGCGGAATCATGTCTTGAGCCTTGCGCGGGAGATGCGATGCAATGGCAGGCACAGCTGTCAGCACCTCTGGCACCGTATCTTGTAAAGTGGCCGTTGCCCAGAGACTGTTCGACAGACCTTGAGCAACCATACCTTTCACCTCGTAAGGGATACGCGCTGCGATCACAGGCACTGCCGTCAGCACCTCCGGCGCTGTGTCCTGCAATCTCGCAGCTGCCCACAGGCTGTTGGAAAGATCTTGAGGAATCATGTCCGTAACCTTGTACGAGATTTGCTCGGCGATCGCGGGCACAGCCGACAGCACCTCTGGCACCGCATCTTGCAAATTTGCAATTGCCCAGAGACTGTTCGACAGACCTTGAGGAACCATGCGTTTGACCTTGTCAGGTATGCATGCTGCAACAGCAGGCACCGCAGTCAGCACTTCTGGCGCTGCATCTTGCAACTTTGCCGCTGCCCAAAGGCTATTCGACAAGTCTTGAGGAACCATGTCTATGGCTTTGAGAGGGATTTGTGCTGCAAGAGGAGCTACTGAGGTCAGCAGCTCTGGCACTGCATCTTGTAGCTTTGCAGCTGCCCACAAGTTGTTTGACAAGTCTTCCGGAACCATTTCTTTGACCTTGAAAGGGATTCTTGCTGCAAGGGCAGGCACGGCAATCAAGACCTCTGGCACCGCATCTTGCAATTTCGCAGTTGCCCAGAGGCTGTTGGCCAGGGCTTGGGGAACCATGTCTTGAGCCTTGTCCGGCATACACCTTGCGATGTCAGGCACAGCAGTCAGGACTTTGGGTACAGAGTCTCCCAGCTTGGCAGTAATCAAAAGGCAGTTTGAGAGTTCCTGCGCCTTCATGTCAGAAGCCTTCCTTTGCACATATGTGCCCAGCTCAGCGACCAGCCCTTTACTGCACGCATCCACTTTCCCATGCAGCTCGCCATGTGCCCAAAACACATTTGCAGCAGAACGAGCACTTAGCTTGTTCTCCCCAAGCATGTCACGCAGCCGTGCTGCCAGACTCAGCCAAATCGGGCTCTGAACATCTGTCCGCCCCAGCTGACGCCTTCTGTTGAACTTAGCCAATCGGGTGAATGCTGCTGACATGTGGAAGTCATTGAAGACTTTGCCATGTATCTCCTCTCCAACCAATTTGAGTATTGCAGCCGCAGACTCAGCTTTGGAGATCTTGGATGTTAAAACCCTGGCAGTAAAGCCAGGGGTCCTCAGGTTTTGCCCTCCTCGCCTGGGCACTGCTCTAGGCGTCCTGGAAGCGCTTGAAGGCACGCTGCATTGATGCTTTTGCACAGCACGGCTCATGCAACGTGACTGGCCGGAGCCCCTATGAAGCATCAACAAGAAGACGGACCCACACATGGGTACAAGCAATGTGTCAAGGCGGCTCTGCGATGCCGCTGTCCTCATCCCAGACCCACCACGAGATCCAATCTACTGCATGGCCCACAGTGCCGGCACAGGGTTGCTTTGAACTGAAACACCTTCGAAGCACTGGAGATTCGTCGGAGATTTGCGGCGGACAGGTATCAATTAAGAATCATGAAAGCACTAGATTTGTGGCAGACCCTTTCAAAACATAGTAAAGAACCCTAAAGCCTGGCCCCTAAACCCAAGATTTCTGGCTCCACATTCCTTGTTCTCCACAGAGAGTTGCGTATACGGCCTCTTCGCCGCGCAAGGAGCAAGACTCCACGTGCCCTAGCATTGTACATGTTGATGCAAGTGGTGGGCCAATGTAGGGTTTGCAGTTTGGGGATTGTAGTTTAGCATTCAAGGCAAACAGTGTCAAACCCATGGCCTCATGGGACTTTTCTCGATTTTCAAGGTCATGTAATGTACAATGAAGAATGCAGACTTCGGCTATAAGGACCACCATGCAGGGACCATGAATTGATAAATTCAGGGTTTAATGTTTGGGGTACACCCAAAATCCACCTGACGCTACCCTACACAACCCCAGAAAGAAACTTATCCTGATGGCAACTATGAATATACATATTATATTTGAACGGCTGTTAATATTCTGATCATTCCATTATTAAATAGTGTGAACTTGTTGTTATATCAGTTATATCATCATCATTTATCGCTTCTCTGAACAATCAACCCCCGACTCCTAATAATAACCCCCCCAATATAGTACCCTCATATAGTAGGGGGAATAATCAACTCCTTAACCCCAACTAAGCCCTGGGTGGGGGGATAGGGGCAGGTGATTCTGAAGTTCCTGGGGCCCTGACAGCAACTGGCAAGGGATCGGCAGCCAGGCTGCCAGGGGAGGCGAGCTGAAAGCTAGCCTGGCTAGGGGATCTACTTGGTGGGTCAGTGGGACTTAGTAAGTAGGTTAGGGTTTAGGGTTTAGGGTTTGGGGTTTGGGTTTAGGGTCAGGGGGGCTTTGTAAGTAGGGTAATCATGGGGATACTTAGGGTTACTATATGGTATATAGGGCTTATTCACCTACTTACTAAGTCCCGTGACCCTCCAAGCAGGGTTTAGGGTTTAGTATGTGAGCTACAGTCTAAACTCCTAGTATATCCCTTAATAAGCCCTATAGTAGTCCCCCTAGATTATCCCCTATATAACCCCCCTTAAGGAGTTTAGACTATAGCTTATATAGGCTTAAAACCTCACGGTCCCTTCCCTGGATCCATTGCGAAGACTTTAAACAGGAGAGCCAGCAGAAATCCCTGCAAACGTCTCTACCATCCCCCACCCCCCCAGGACCGCAAGGCTTTAATTCAAATCCAGGTCGTGGGGTTGAGGGTCTTTTGGGGGGGTTTAGGGTTTAAGGCTCAGGCCTTAGGCATTGCAGTACACATCCCAATGAAGATTTCTCTCGTCTCCAGGTTCCAAACCTTACCAATGTTCCTTGAAGCCGATGGCAGCTCTGCAAGTTAACCAGGCGAAAGACATTGTGCATGACTTAGCCTCTGAAAGGTATTCGGGTTTAGGGTTTAGGGTTCAGGGTTTAGGGGTTGCATTGAAAATGCCCAAGTAATCAAGGGTTTAGAGTTGCCTCATGCATGGGCAACTGCAACATGTAATCCGATGTTTGAGGTTGCAAGCTAATCTCCACCGAGAGCTTTTTGGGAACAACTACCTGTAGCTTCCTCTGTGAGAGACATGTCCCAACCCGGCCTACCAGCAGCCATCACATCCGACCACAGAAAGATGAAGGGCAGAAAGCTAACCTAAGCAAACTGCAGGACTGAAGGGGGTCACGAGCGTCCAATTTCTTCTATTGCGCTACCACTGCGCCTCTTATTGAGATGTGGCCTTCGGGGCATTGGGCTTTCCTTTTCATGTAAACTTTGCATGAGGAGCTCTGAAACCCTACACCTTTCTAAGATATCCATGCAGAACCTGGATCAGAGCCCAGGTCTTCGAGGGCTTGAAGATCGACAACAAGGGTGATGGAAATGAAGGTGAAGAGAAGCAGAAACAGCATACTAAGTCTGAAAGCTTCATCAGCACGGCCACCATGACCACTGCAGCCGACACCATCATCAGCAACGGTAGCGGATCACGATCATCACCACCATCGAAACCATCATGACCATCATCACCGCCACCACCATCATCATCCCCATCCTCATCATCCCCAACATGACCTTCATCACCGTGATCAAGGAGTCATCAACATCATCCGGACAAGAGTCCAAGAATCAAGAACATGTTGATCATGTTCGCTGCTACTAGTCGCATAGGCTACAGAGTCCTGATTATCGGGGTTGGAGCAACCAAAATGCCCTCAGTACATTATTCAAAGGTAACTTCAAAATGGCTTGCCCCAGAACCTCTTCATCGCAACACCTGAAATGCGAAGCCTTAAAACCATATCTCTGGAAGCCACTGCATTGAAACTTTAGTAAGCATACTCATAACACCTAAAAGCCATATGTAACCCCAACCTACTTATGACGTCCCTAACCCTAAACCCTAAACCCTAACGATCCTCCAAGTAAACCTCATCCTGAGCACCTGAAAAAGCCGTGTAGCCACGTGTGAGGTGAAGAGGAATTCCTCCGCTAGTTCGCCTTTGGTCCCGCAGAGAGAATGTAACCTGCAAAGCCACTTCTCCGTTCAGCAGATGATATAGGCCTCAAAAGCTACTTATCTGATTCATGCGGAAACCAGGACAATTTCGCCCATGGCCAGCAATGAAAGTAGGCATGTGTACAAACTTACCCTCAAAGGTGCGCCGCGGTTCATGCCATAATTACACCACGCATAAAACACAAGCCTCAAGCATCATGGAACCCTACACATACCTCTTGTAAAGGACACTAAGGTCAAGGAGCGCCTTGTGACACGTTTGAATTTGAGGCAGCCCATACTTTCAACCCTCCATCCCTGGGCGGGGCTTAGGGTTCAGGATTCGTGTTTCGGGTTTAAGGTGTAGGGGCAGCAATCAAGATGTTTGTACATGTAAACTCCTCCTTTGCTCATTTCTGAGCTATCTCAGTCCCCAGATCCCGCCTGGCAACCTTCAAGCCAGCAGTGCTTATCTCTGGGTATCCCCAACACTCCAGCAGTCTCAAAAGTATCACATGATCTGAAGGAAAACTTGCATGGGTGCAGCATTCGAACTTGCAGTAGTAGACGCTGACTTTAAGTGCATCATCCCCTCCCCAAACCCCCCCCCCACCCCCTTCAGGAAAAAGATTGAAACCACACAACCCCAAAGAGACACCGAACCCTGAACCCTAAACCAAATTCAGCATCCTCAATCCCTGAGGATGTTCAAAGCCTTGATTGACCACAAACATCCAAACCCCCCCACTAGACCTCAGCCTAAACCCTAAACCCTAAATTTCAAACCCTTTAACCCTTAATCCTAACCCTTTACACCTTATACCCTACAGTCCCCCTTAAATAGATAGAGTATGGCTTTGGGTAAATTGCAATAAGATCCCCATCTACCCCATATGCTATCTACTTAAAGGGGACTATAAACCTTAAACCCTAAACCCTAAGCCCTAAACCCTAAGCCCTAAACCCTAAACCCTACAACCTGTAAGCCCTCCGGAAGGCCTATAGAGAGCAGCCTGCGTATGGCCCAGGAAGC